CCCAGCAGTTTGGAAGGCTGAGGCGGATGGATCACCTAAGGTCAGGAGTTCAAGACCAGCTTGGCTAACATGGCAAAACCCCACCTCTAGTAACAATACAAAAATTAGCCAGGCCTGGTGGGGTGTGCCTGTAATCCCATCTACTCAGGAGGCTGAGGCACGAGAAATTGCTTGAACCTGGGAGGCAGACGTTGCAGTAAACCGAGATTGTGCCCCTGCACTCCAGCCTGGATGACAGAGTGAGACTCAGTGTCAAACAACAACAACAACAAAAAAAAAAAAACAAGCTACTGTATTTCATATAACCCAAATGACAAGTGTGTAAGAAAGGATATTCCCAGTAGGGAATATAAGAGGTGAAATAGAGACCATCTCTGTTCTCAGTCTTACAACTCATTGGGGAAGACAAATTCATGGAAAGCTAATGAGAACATTCCTTGTGATGAAATGCTGCAGGAGCCTAGGAAGGTGGATTCTGACTGGGGGGGAGGGTGGTCAATGAAGGGTTCACAGAGGAGAATTGAGCTGAGCCAGACTTTAAGGATGGGAAATTGTATCAGTGTTTGTCTGGCCTTCTTCAAGTTTTCTCCATTGCTACTTCCAGCATTAAGTGGGAATCATTTTATTTTTTGTTAATCAGTCTTCATTATCCATAAAGTGACCTAAAGAATAAGTCAGGCCAGGCGTGATGGCTCACACCTGTAATTCCAACACTTTGGGAGGCCAAGGCGGGAGGATCACCTGAGGTCAGGAGTTTGAAACCAGCCTGGCCAACATGGTGAAACCCCATCTCTAATAAAAATACAAAAATTAGCTGGGCATGGTGGCAGGTACCTGTAATCCCAGCTACTGGGGAGGATGAGGCAGGAAAATCGCTTGAACCTGGGAGGTGAAGGTTGCAGTGAGCCAAGATTGTGCCACTGCACTCCAGCTTGGGGAACAGAGTGAGACTCTGTCTCAAAAAAAAGAATAAACTCATTGAAATTTAGAATGCTAGGACAGTGTACCAGCATTACACCTTGGCTGTTCCCCAACTTAAGCATTATCTTTGCCCTGCATGTCTGTATATTGCCTGAATAATGACATTTGAATAATCATAATGGTCTAACATTTATATAATTTTTTCAGTTTATTAACCATATTTTATAGAAGTTAAATCTACAAATTAATTGTAAATTGAATTTGATAAAATGATAAAATAGCCACCTATAATCACACCACACAATTAACTGGACGCTACTGTTTTGCCTCATTTGCTTCAGCTGGAAGAAATACTGTATTACAAATATAGCAAAACTCTACAACCCATGACTGCTTCATCCATATCTCTCCTTGGGTAACCACTGTCCTGCAGTTGTCATGTACCACTTTTGTGCATATATTTGTACTTAATGTATGAATATAAACAATTATTTTGGCTGGGCCTGGAGGCTCATGCCTGTAATCCCAGCTCTTTGGGAGGCCAAGGTGGGCAGATCACTAGAGGTCAGGAGTTCAAGATCAGCCTGGCCAACATGACAAAACCTCATCTCTATTAAAAATACAAAAAATTACCTGGGCGTGGTGGCAGGCACCTGTAATCACAGCTACTCAGAAGGCTAAGGCAGGAGAATCCCTTGAACCTGGGAGGCGGAGTTTGCAGGGAGCGAAGACTGCACCATTACACTCCAGTCTGGGTGACAGAGTGAGACTCCATCTCAAAAAAAAAAAATTCAAGTATTCTTACAAGTTTGAAAATTGAATAGTGTATGTCTGCCCTTCGTTTTTTCTATGCAATAATGTTTTTAAAAACTTACTCATGCTGATTAATGTTGCTGTAGTATTCACTCTAGTTCATTCATTTTCACAGCTCTGTAGCATTCCACTGTATAAGTAAATCACAGCTTGATTACCCATTCATCTACTGAGAGATAATTAGGTTGTTTCCACTTTTTTATATTTTGCTTTTTATTTATTTATTTTTTGGGGGGAGAGACACAAAGCCTTGCTTTGTTTCCAGGCCTGAGTGCAGTGGTACGATCTTGGCTCACTGCAACTGGTTCAAGCCATCCTCCTGCCTCAGCCTCCTGAGTAGCTGGGACCACAGGCGCACACCACTGTGCCTAGCTAGTAGAGACAGGGTTTCACCACATTGGCCAGGATGATCTCTTGGCCTCAAGTTATCCGCCTGCCTCGGCCTCCCAAAGTGCTGGGATTACAGGTGTGAGCCACCGCACCCAGCCATATTTTGCTATTACAAAGAGTACTGGAGAAAATGCTCTTGTGGAATGTTCCTTTGTGCCCGCTTCTGAGCGTTTTGCTCAGAGAGACACTTAGGAATTGATTTGCTGGGCCACAAAGTATAAGCATTTTCAAATTTACTAGACTTGCCAAATTACTCTGCAAAGTACTTTCTCTGTTCTGAGCACTTTGTACCTATTAATATGTTGTATCCTCACAACAACCATAAGAAGAAAATACTGTATAAACTCCTTTTTACAGATATGAAAACTGAAGCTAAGAGAAGTAAAGTGACATGCCCAAGGTCACACAGAATCAAGCGACAGAGCTTGCATTTGAATAGAGGCAGTCTAGTTCCAATTCCCATGCTTTTAACCACTATAGTGTTCTGTCTCCTAATCCAATCTATTGTTGTTTTCATTTGCATTTATTTTTTGCATTACTAATGAAGTTGAACATCTCTTCTTACCCCCCACCTTCTTTTACTGGCAGGAACGCTAAGCACTGTGGAAGCAGCGAGTACTGAAGGAAAAAAAAAAGCCACAGCCTTATCCTCAAGGGAAATGATTTTTTACAAAAGCCAGGCTTGGCTCATAGCCTCAGCAGAAAGTTTAGAAGACTACTGCAATCAGGCCAGGCGCAGTGGCTCACGCCTCTAATCCCAGCACTTTGGGAGGCCAAGGCAGTCGGATCACTTGAGCCCAGGCATTCAAGATCAGCCTGGCCAACATGGTGAAATGCTGTCTCTACTAAAAATATACAAAAAATTTAGCCAGACATGGTGGTGTGTGCCTGTAGTTCCAGGTAGTCAGGAGGCTGAGGTGGGAGCATCCCCTGAGACTGGGAATTTGAGGCTGCAGTGAGCTGTGATTGCACCACTGCACTTCAGCCTGGGCAATGGGAGTGAGACCCTGACTCAAAAAAAAAAAAGGAGTACTACTGAATTAATGGACTGATTTGGAGGAGGAATATCTTTTTAAATTAGTTTTATTTTTTATTAAATAAATAGACACACATTTTGTTTAAAGAGACAACTAGATCTATTAGACTTCTTAAGAAAAGCAACAGTTTGTTCTGCACATGTATCCCAGAACTTAAAGTAAAACAAAATTTTTTTTAAACAAGTGAAATTCTGGCCCCATGATGGCAAAGAAAGAAAGAGAGAGAGAGAAAGGAAAAAAAGAGAAGAAAGAAAGGAAAGAAAGGAAGAAAGAAAGAAAGAAAGAAAGAAAGAAAGAAAGAAAGAAAGAAAGAAAGAAAGAAAGAGAGAGAGAGAGGAAGGAAGGAAGGAAGGAAAGAGAAAGAAAGAAAAGAAAGGAAGAGAGAGAAAGCAAAGCAAAGCAACAGTCCTTTCTTGTATTCTGCTCCCCAGATGCATCCACTTTCAGTTAGCTCTTTGAGACAATTATATTTCTATTTACATCTACATCTCCAAATGCCACGCTTGTATGAATATGACTAGGGTTTACAGCTTGAAACATTTTTTAGATTGACCTTACACTATTGAAGATAGGATTTAGCCTCTGCACCTGTCTCTCTCTCTCTCTCTCTCTCCTTCTCTCTCACACACACATCCCGTGACCCATCCATACACTCTCAATATAGTTATACGTTTAGATCAATATGCAATGTTTACACTATTATGATTATATAAATACAAAAGTCAACTTAGTCATGAAGTACATTATAATTATTTTCCATCTCCTTCACATTTTTTCCTAGCATTTTAAAAACTTACTTGATTTTCTATGTACTTGCCACCAACTCAACCCCAAACTCTCCTCCTGGCAATTTCATCTTCTTGAAGAAATCTCTCCCAGAACTTTCAGGACTGCTGCAATCTCAACTCATTGCTCTAGGTCTGCTGAACAGCTGTGATCCAGAGATGTCTTTTTACCATCATCCTAGAGAGTTTTCTTTTGTTTTGCTTTTTGAGACAGCATCTCACTCTGTCGCCCATGCTGGAGTGCAGTGGCAAGATCTCGGCTTACAGAAACCTCCACCTCTTGGGCTCAAGCAATACTTCTGCCTCAGCCTCCTAAGCAGCTGGGATTACAGGCGCATGTCACCACACCTGATGGATTCCTCAATGGAATATACTTTTAGTAATACACATGAATTAAACAAATAACTATAACCAGAAAGAAAATGCAGTGTAAATTTTCTCTATAAATTATTTTGCATATAGTTATCATAGTAAAAATCATAAGACAACTTTAAGAAAATTAAAACAAAATGTAAGCAACTACTAAATTATGTAACTGATATAAAATTTTAGCATTTTGATTTTTATGTATTAAAATAATGAGCAATAAAAAGTACATTTCACGCTTGAATATATTGTTCAAATCCAGTAAAATATTTTATTTTCAAATGTGGTAAAACTGTCTTTGTCCCCCCACATTTTACTCCTTAAATTTGACACTTTATTTCACTGATTTAGACATCAGTCAAAGCAAGTGATTACACAGAACCACAGAGCTGAGGCAACTTCAGCTGTTCTTTGTCTTTACCTGGGTTCTGGGAATTTAGACCTTGATGTTGCTACCCACACCTACCCTAAATACATGTAGAAATACCGAAGCCCTTTTTCTTCCTGTCTGTGGGACAAAGTGTTGACTTATCTTCATTTTCTTCTTAGTCCTCACCTGCTCCTTATCTCCCAGTGGCTAACTGTATGCCTGTTGGTCTGGGGCCCAACCCTGGAGGACTCCGCCTCCCTCCCATCTCACGTTTTTTCTTCCTTAACCCCCTCCCTGCTACAGGCAAACATTCACATCATCTTTTTGCATTGTGCTTATTTTATTGCATTCAACATGGGTGAACACCGTTGCTCTCAGATTTGGCCTTTATGTGATTGGTGATTCCCCAGAGCTGCCTATGGAGATGCTGTTGCTAATTCTACATTTCTGATCCAGGCTCTGCATTTACTGGCAGCAGAGATGGTTACTTGGGATGGTTTGACATTGCCAGTTTCTTCTATGCTTGCTTTTCTGATTTCTACTTCCTGGGGTTTTTTGGGCTTGCTCTTCTGATTTTCATTTTGTGTCTTATTCTGCTTGTGGTGACACACAAATGCTGCTGGTCTCATTGTCTTCCTAGGCTTTTTTGAGCAGGAAGGAGGTGATCGAGGTTTTTTTCCTGAATTTCTTTGAAGGGGTTTTTTCACCTTTGTGATTTTCTTCTCCACCTGGAAGGGCAACATAGTGAACCAGGACATTGGTTTAGGGGAAGAGAAAGAGGTTGTATAGAAAGGGAGCTTTATAAATAGGGTTGTATGAGGCAAGGATATGCTAGGAGTCTTAAGACAATATGGGAGAAGAAGAGAAGGAACAAGGATAGGGTCATCTGACCTTGCCATTTTCATTGGTCTTTTGCTGACAAGAGTTCTTCTTTTCCTTCTTCTCTTTGGTTCTTAGGGTTGGCTTTTTCGTGCTAGTAATTGGTTGTTTCATTTTTTTTTTAGGCTTCACTGGTGTGTAGGTCTCCTTAGCCATATTTAAGCCTCCCGATGGTCTACCCCACGCTGCTGACCTCCTTATATATACCCACCCCTGGGTAATGAGGAGCCCCGCCCTTCAGCTTTGTTTGGTCAGAAAGGAGTACCGCTATCCAATGGTAGTCCTGGGGTGGCTTGGACATCACAAAGCGCTGCCACCTCTGTGGGGGTGGTGTTGTTGGGGTGGCCAAGATGTGGTTGAAGAAAGGGTATTTTCCCACCCGAAATAATACATGAAGGTCCATTTTGAAATGACCTGCTACCACCATAATTTCCCCATGTTCAATTCTGATGAGTCACATAGCAGGGAGGTGTTTCCTTAAAAACATTCCCTATGGCCACCCCCATTCAGTGGTTCATTCTGTTCTCTCACACCCTTTACCATGACCTACTATTTTGGATGTCTTATCTAAAAGCCCTTCAAGGTAAAATGGCCTTATTTAATTCTCAGTCAAAATACAAATCATTCCGCTTCCCTCAAACAAATTTCCATTTTGTACCTGTTTTGGTGTGGCTTGTAATCTAGGAAAAATGTTTTTGTGTTGCTGTTTTTATTTTTGATTTACATTTCTAAATGGTTGAAAAAATCAAAAGAATATTTTACGATGTAAAAATTATGTGAAATTGAAATTTAAGTGTTCACAAAACTTTATTAGAACACAGACACACTAATTTAACTGTCGTCTATGGCTGCTTTCACACTACAACAGAGAAGTTGTGATGGAGATTGTATAGCCTGCAACAAATAAAGTATTTGCTATGTGTCCTTTTAGAAAAAAATATTGCCAACTCCTGATCTATTCTGTTCCACTGATCTATTTGCCTATCCTTATGCCCAAACCACATTGTCATGATTAATTTCATGTCATGTCGTAATTGTACGCTAAGACATTAAATTAGGTAGCACAGCTCATCCAACTTTCCTCTTCTTTTACAAAATCATTTCAGCTATTCTAGGTCCTTCATACATTCTTAAAATTTTTAGAATCAGCTTTTCTATTAATGTTAAAGCCTGTTCTGATTTCATTGTGATGGTGTTGAATTTTTAAATCAATATAGGGAGAATTGAAATCTTAACAATTTTGAGACCTTCAATTTGTGAACATATATCTCTTCATTTACTTAGGTCTTTCATTTATCTCTGGAATGTTTTGTAACTTTCAATTTGTTTAAAATTGGTATTGTTTCCTCCTTAAGTGTTTGGTAGTAGTCACCCATGAAGGCATCCATTCCTGAAACTTTCCTTTAGAGAAGATTTTATTATTTGAATTAACTTTGGTATTTACACTATTCAAAAAGTTCAGTCTAATGTTAGTTTGGTAAATTGTTTTTCAAATACTTTTTCCATTTCATCTAAATGGTCAAATTTGTTGGCATAAAGTTGTGCATAATATGCCCTTCATATTTTTAAAATGCCTATAGCATGTATAGTGATGCAACCTCTATAATTTCTGAAATTGGTAACTTATGTTTTATGGTTTTTCTCTTGATTACCTTTAGCTAACCTTTTATGAATTTTATTATTCTTTAAAAAAAAAACTGTTTAACTTTCTTGATTTCTGTCTATCACTTTGGCTTTTCGTATTTTAATGATTTCTGTTCCTTGTCTTTACTATTTTATTTTTTCTATTTAATTCAAATTTAATTTATAGACTCTTAAAGTAAAATATTGTATTATTTACTTTAAAACATTATTCTTTACTAATATAAACATAAAGCTATAAATTTTCCTCTTAGGACTACTTTAGCTGCATCTCACAATATTTGATATATTGTCTTTTCTTATGCAGTTTGATATATCTTTAATTTCACTTGTAATTTATTTTTAAACCATGAGTAATTTAGAAGAATATCCCTAATTTCCAAGGATTGGGTATCTTCTAGACATGTTTTAGCTATTGATTTCTAATTTAATTTATCTGTGGTTAGACAACATAGTTCATTATTTAAATATTTTTAAATATATACAAACTCATTTTATAGTCCAGAATTTGGTTTATCTTAGTGTAGGTCAAACTTGGTTGATAGGAGTTTTCAAATAGTATACATCCTTGCTAATTTATTTGTCTACTTCATTTATCAATTGTTACTAGGAGAGAGTTTAAATGTATAGCTGTGATTATGGATTTATCTATTTCTCATTTTTAATTTTGTAAAATTTTGCTTTATGTACTTTGAAGCTCTGTTATTTCTTGTATACTCACTTATTGTTTGCATTGTATATCTCCTCCATCCTAGTACTTTCAACCTAGCTGTGTTTTTATATTTTAAGTGCATTATTTGTTAAGAGCATATAATTGGATATTGGTTTTTAAATGAAGTTCATCAACCTCTGTCTTTTGTTGGAGCATTTAATGTATTTATATTTAATGGACTTATTGACATGGCTATGTTTAAGTTTACTCACTTTCGTTTTGTTTTCTATATGTTCTATTATTTGTTATATATATCCTTTCATGTCTTCTTTTGGGTTGAGGGTTTTTTTTTTTGTATTTTATTGTTTTACCTATTGACTTTTTAATAATAGCTTTTTATATATTTTTCCTACTTGTTGTGGGGATTGCAATATGCATCCTTATCTTGTTACATTCAACACAGAATTAATGGAAGTTCTAGCCAGATTAATCAGGCAAGAGAAAGAAATAAAAGGCATCCAAATAGGAAGAGAAGTCAAGCTATCTCTCTGTACAGACAATATGATTCTATACCTAGGAAACATTGAAGAGTCCACCAAAATGCTCCTGGAACTGATAAATGACTTCAGTAAAATTCCAAGATACAAAAATCATTGTAAAACAAATCAGTACCATTTCTAGACACAAATAATGGTTAAGCTGACAGCCAAATCAAGAAGTAATCCCATTTATACTAGCCACAGAAAAATTACTTAGGAATACATCTAACCAAGGATATGAACAATCTCTACAAGAACTACAAAACACTACTGAAAGAAGTCATAGGTGACACAAACAAATGGAAAAATATTCCTTGCTCATGAATTGGAAGAATCAATATCATTCAAATGGACATACGCCCCAAAGCAATCTACAGATTTAGTGTTATTCCTATGAAACTACCAACATCATTTTTCACAGAATTGGAAAGAATGAAATAAACTTTTCAAAAATTCATATGGAGCCAAAAAAGAGCCAGAATAGCCAAAGGACTTCTAAGCAAAAAGAACAAAGCTGGAGGCATCACACTACCTGACTTCAAACTATACTACAAAGCTACAGTGACCAAAACAGCATGATATTGGTACAAAAACACACATAAACCAATGGAACAGAATAGAGTGCTGAGAAATAAAGCCACACACTAACAGCCATCTGATCTTTGACAAAGTCAACCAAGTAAGCTGTGGAGAAAGGGCAGTCTTCAATAAATGGTGCTGGGATAGCTGGCTAGACATATGCAGAAGGATAAAACTGGACCCCTACCTTTCACCATATACAAAAAGTAACTTAAGGTAGATTAAAGATTCAAATGTAAGACTTCAAACTTACACAGTGGCTCACGCCTGTAATCCTAGCACTCCCAAAGTGTTTCATTTCTAACTGAGCTTATTGGGATTTTTCTCTCTTCTCTTCTAGGTTAATCTCAGTAATGATCTATTAATTTTGTTTATCTTTTCAAATCAATTTTTTGTTTTATTTATCTTTTATTTTTTGTTGTTGTTGTTTAAATTTCATTTAGTTCTGCTCTAATCTTTGTTATTTCTTTTATTCTGCTGGGTTTGGATTTGGCTTGTTCTTGTTTCTCTAGTTCCTTGAGGTATGACCTTAGATTGTCTATTTGTGCTCTTTCAGAATTTTTGATGTACGCATTTAATGCTGTGAATTTTCCTCTTAGCACTGCTTTTGCTGTATCTCAGAAGTTTTGATAAATTGTGTCACTATTATCATTCAGTTTAATGAATTTTTAAATTTCTATCTTGATTTTATTGTTAACCCAAAGATTGTTCAAGAGTAGATTATTTAATTTCCATGTATTTGTATGGTTTTGAGGATTCCTTTTTGAGTTAATTTTCAGTTGTATTCCACTGTGGTCTGAGAGGATATTTAATATAATTAAATTGTCCTAAATTTATTGAGACTTGTTTTGTGACCTACTGTATTGCCTGTCTTGGAGAATGCTTTTTATGCTGATGGAAAGAATATATATTCTACAGTTGTTGGGTAGAATGTTCTCTAATTATCTGTTAAGTCCGCTTTTTCTAGGGCATTAAGTCCGTGTGTCTTTGTTGATTTTCTGTTTTAATGACATGTCTAGTACTGTCAGTGGAGTATTGACGTCACCCATTATTATTGTGTTGCCATGTATCTCATTTTTTAGATCTAGTAGTAATTGTTTTATAAATTTGGGATCTCGATTATTAGGTCCATATATATTTAGAATTTTGATATTTTCCTTTTTGACAAATCGTTTTATCACATAATGTCCCTCTTTGTCTTTTTTAAACTATTGTTGCTTTAAAGTCTATTTTGTCTGATACAAGAATAGCAACTGCTGCTCACTTTTGGTTTCCATTTGCATGGAATATCTTTCTCCACTCCTTTACCTTAAGTTTATGTGAGTCCTTATGTGTTAGGTGAGTCTCTTGAAGACAGCAGATACTTGGTTGGTGGATTTTTATCCATTTTGCCATTCTGTATCTTTTAAGTGCAGCATTTTGACCATTTACATTCAACATTACTATTGAGATGTGAAGTTCTGTTTTATTTATCATGCTAGTTGTTGCCTAAACACCTTTTTTTATTCTGTTATTGTTTTGTAGGCCCTGTGAGTTTTATGCTTTAAGGAGGTTCTGTTTTGGTGTATTTTCAGGTTTTTTTCAAGACTTAGAACTCCCTTTATCATTTCTTGTAGTGGTGGCTTGGTAGTGGTGAATTCTCTTGACATTTGTTTGTCTGAAAAAGATCTTACCTCTCCTTCATTTATGAAGCTTTCTTTTACTTGATACAAAATTTTTGGCTGATAGTTATTTAGTTTCAGGACACTAAAGATGGAAACTCAATTCCTTCTGGCTTATAAGAT